GATATAAGGAAGAAATTCTTTACACTGAGGGTGGTGAAACACTGGAACAGGTTGCCCAGAGAGGTGGCGGAGGCCCCATCCCTGGCAACTTTCAAGGCCAGGTTGGACAGGGCTGTGAGCAACCCGATCTGGTTAAAGGTGTCCCTGCTCACCGCAGGGGGGTTGGGCTGGGTGACCTCTAGGGGTCCCTTCCAACCCAAAACATTCTATGATTCTATGATACAAGTGCCGATGCCAGCCGGGCTACCAGCTGGAGAGGGATGCCAAATCCTGTGAAGGTAAGGCCCGTGCTACCTGCCTGGAGGTGCACGTTGAAGGCAATTTTAAAAGACCCCAGGAATAGCGCATCAGGTCACGGTATTCATTCGTATTTCGCCCTGTTTGCCAAAAGCAGCTTCAGGAATGGCTTATTAACAGGATTAAAACGCCATGTGTTTGAGGTGTGAAGTCCACCTCGGTTCACAACTTTGAACAAGATTTTGGCCTCGTAGACTCCTGGCTGTTTGTTGCCCACTGACGATGATGACATAGGTTAGGAACTTAATCGTGTTTTAATTCTAACGTTGTATTCCTCACCAAGTTGTATAGAGAGTTGGCCTGTAGAACATGTTTTATTCTACATAAAAGCTTTTCTTTATCTACTTTTGGCTTACGTTGCTGCTAATCGCAGTGTGATTCATTCATCCTCCTCTTCAGGTTTCAAAGCAAACACTCTCACAAGCGGAACAGAAAAGCTACCTTTGGGTTTGATTACTAGGGTGGTTGTTTTTTTTCTCATATATCTTAACGTATTCATCAGTTTTTAAGGCAAATCCCCCCCCTTCCCCAACACAAGCGCACACACATGGTACCCTGGAATATGCCAGAGAAAGATAGGGCCAAATTTATGGATTTATTGCGCTAAAATTCCTGTCACAAAACCGTTTCCATATGGCTCCTCTTCTGCTGAGAGATTTTATATGCTGTGTATAAAGTGTAAGTAAATCCTGCTGTTCAGCTTGCTTCCAACTCCTGCTGTGTGCAACGAGCGCTTGGCCTTCGGTTTTGGCCTCCCCGAGTCCTGCCCTCCGCAGAGCCCGCGCACGCTGTGCTTCAGCGAGCACCCACAGCCAGCTCGCCTTGCCATCCCTCACGGCGTGGCCGCGTTTTGTCCCCGAGATGGTCATAAGAGTCGGAAAAGGGGAGCGTTAGTGGGGGGACAGGGTGTCAGAGACCTTCCTTCACCATTCTCCAGCACATTTCCAAACTTCTCCTGGGTCCTCTGCTGCCTCTGGCACTCGAGATGTCCTTGGCCAAGCCAGCTGGGCCTGAGGACCACTGCACACTTTCTGGTGGTTTTTATGGTGGCGTGGTGGGACAGAGGTTGGACCAGCAGGGTCTGAGTGTGGCGATGCCTGGTCGGGAGGGAGTTGTCCCTTGAGCGGTCACGGAGCAGTTCAAACCTTCGTGTGCTCACTCAGCAGCAAAACGAGCAGGCTAGGTCCCCGAATTGATGAGGGTTTGCCACCGCACTGGCAGATGTGGCCATTCGCTCCCTGCCGTCACGGGGCTGATGAGGGTCAGCCACCCATTGAAGGCAGCAGTTTGTCACCAGCCAAGAATTACTGAACAGTGGAGAAGGGGCAAGGTCAGCTTTGTCTGCAGGTGAGACCTTAATGTGGAGTTTGCGTGTATGCCTGGTTACCTGCATTCAGGGTGGTGGAAATCAAAATATAATAACGCAGCCCCCCTAGAAAGACAGCTGTGGTCTGAGGAAGGAGAATCTGTCTCGCAAGGGGAGCTCAGCTGGCAAAACGAAGACTGAGTAGGATGCTTTTCACCCATAACTACCTTAGCAAATAAACACCTGCGAGAGAAAAGCGCTAGTTAAGCCAACGGACAAGACTTTTATAGGAACAAATGAGCATAAAGTGGCCATGAATGCATTTGGGTTGGCGATTAGAGATGTTTTAGGTAGAAAAGGTGGGAGGAGGTGAGCCTGGCTGCTTTTAATTTCCAACCAGAAAGGATGGCTGCTGTAGCGCTGGTTTGGGTTGAGAAACTCCAGCATCATGAGGGTATTTACTACAGCAGGCGTCGCTGCGCTGCAGGTGCAGAGTCATCCTCACTGACTCCCTGGGCTGTACAGAAACACACAAGCCTAGCTGGGTGGTGCAGCCGTCAGCATGGGGGCAAATGGGACAGGATGGAGTGGTGTGACATCAGATGAAGAGGTGAGATTGCTGCTCTGGGGGTGAGAAGTGTATGGATGTGGCTAGCAGTGGCTGTGATACTTGTGTGAGAAAATGGGCTCTATAAGATGTCTGCTAGAGTGAGTTCCTTGTTGGGTTATCCAGGGATGGTAAGAACAAATACCTTTCTCAACCCACTTTGAGTTTCCCTTCTATAAGTCATTTCTATTTCCACCCCAAACCTTCCCTGCCATAAGAAGGAAATTTTACTCCTTACCACTTCATATTGTCTCCGGTGTAAAGTCACGGTTACTGTGAGGAATAAAATGGACTCAATACGGCCCAGTTCTGTACTTTTAGGTGCTCTAGAGTTCATGGCAGATAGGGCTGGAGACCCTGTTCTTTGCAACCTTGCAGTGAAGGTCTGGAAGGTCCACAGCACATGTGGAGCCCATACTCACACTTCACCAAGAACATTGCTACCATGCCAGATCAATGCATCACCATGGCTTTTTCAGATAAGGTTCCTGGATGTCCTGGGATATCTGGGAAATGAAACAGTTCCAGAAAATGTTTTGCCATAGTGTTTAACAGCTTGGAATAGAGCTCTGTAGGATGGAGTCTATTATCCACTGAAGTCAAACAATAAGAGCCAAATGTGTAGGAAAAAGAACACTAATGAGTTACTTTTAGCTTTTCCTGAAACCTGCCTAGAACAGGAAGGAACAGATATGTCAGTGGAAAACAAGTCAATCAGTGGTTGCCTTATGTCCTGAAGATCTTTCCTCTACAAACTTTTGTCTTGTCTAAGGACTTCCAAGGCTGCTATCTTTATTCAAATTATTACGTGTTACGAACATCTACCCTATAATTTGTTGTTTTCTTGTTGTCATGTCACAGATTATTACAAGTTTTACTCTATGCTGTAATCATTCTCAAATTAAAGCTTTAGATGCTCGGAAAACCTTTACAATATGCAGGTTTAACAGATGCTGTTTGATAGTGATTTCGCTGTAATCATTCTCAAATTAAAGCTTTAGATGCTTGGAAAACCTTTACAGATGCTGTTTGATAGTGATTTCATTTAGTTTATCCAAATAAAAAAAGAACCGGCAAATAACTCACTATTTCATATCGGCAAGGAACGAGTTCTTGCTTGAAGCTAAATCCTTTGTCGAGTGGAAATTGTCAAACTGCAGAGCCAAGTTGTCAGCCTTGGAAGTGTCACGTAGGATGAAGTGCTGCTGTCCCTTGGAAACCTATTTGCAACCTATCATGTTGAAAGTTCAACAGAAAATTTCAGTTCTACATCCCTAACAGTGATATTTTTTTATTATTATTCTTTTTTTTTTTTTTTTTTAATACTGTCAGGTCAAGCTCTCAGCCTGCAGCCTTGAACGGTTATGTTCTTGAGATGCCAAGAGGTGAAACGAGGGGATTTGAAGGTGTTCTGGGGCAACGTCCTCCTTTGCCAAACGGTGGCAGAAACTGCCCTGGCTACACAGAAAAGTGAAAATTGGAGGAAATGAAAAAAAAAACCCAAACCCACACCATATTTAGATGTATCTCTATAAAATAGAGGTCTTTCTCTCCTATTCCCTTCTCCTGCATAGCTCTGTGTAGCTATGTGGTTAGCCACTAGAAGAGCAAAGCAGCAAGGTCGGGAGGAAAATACCTTCAGGGCTTCCCCAGGGTTACTGAAACCCTGACTCGTTGCTGTTGAACTGCTGTAGACTTTCTGCCTGGTGCCCCTGCAGAAGTTGGCTTGTGCAGAGCTTGAGATGGCCAGCGAAGGATGTGTCAGGCTGGAGGCGAGTGAGGAATACCGGCCAAATGTCTCAAATCAGACACGGGTTGCTAAAACTGAATTAGAGCTTGATCCGAAAGGAAATAGGCTTAAATTTTAAAAAGCTTTATTTGACACTAAGAACTCCTCTAAAGGACACATTTTCAAATTGGCCAATGGAATGTTATTCACCAGCATGTTGGTGTAACTAGTGCTCCAATCTGAAACCTCAGCCTTGGGCAGAATACCAGATTTTGGTATGAAAACTCTGGCTCTTAACTCAAATCAGACCTGTCCAAACAGTCCTGGTAGGTCTATTTTTGTGTGTGCAAAGTTTTTATTTGGGCAAATACATCAGTACGCTTCCAGCAGGTACATGTTCCTGAAATAAACCCATAAAACACGGTGAAATCTTTGAGGTGGAGACTTCGACAGATGCTCTATAAATAGTGTTTCGAAGTAGTTGCCACTTAGAGTGGCTTATCCTTGAAAACTTGTATGATATTGTTCAAAAAAAAAGAAAAAAAATCTTGATGTACACCATGAATGGCGTATGTTTTTTGACTGAAGGAGGTCTTTTGGGGCTCTTCAGCATTTGGTTCCTCTCGAGACTTTTAAACACACATCGTTCCGGGGCGAACTCTGCCGTTGTATGTGTTTATGGGTTCACATGGATTGGAGTGCTAATTGCTATTGTTTAGAGCAGCTCTCGAAATCTGCTCAGTTACAGCAAAATAAGGATAAAATGGACTTTTCTTGTCCTGCTTCCAAGATGTAATGCGAGCCCAGTCTCCCGCTGTTTAAAGCATTGCTGGTGCTCTATGAAAAATGCTCTCCAGCAAGAGAGAAAATAGCGGCTAGAAAAACAACGGCTTTACTGTACACCAAACTCTGTCAATTTTTTTTTTTTTTTCCCAGTCTAATCTCTTACAGCTACAGTAATCTTCATTGTTAGTTGTAACGATGGCAGGTAAGACCATTTTCAGACAAACCCATGACCTTTAAGTTGACAGTGTGCTCTAATTGGTTTCAGTGATAGACCCCTGCACAAGTGGGAATGGAGGATGCTCACAAATCTGTCAAAATGAGCGAGGAATTGCAAAATGCGAGTGCCATCCGGGGCATTATCTTTCTGCAGACAAAAAGTCCTGTTTAGGTAAGAACCTCTGGACTACTTATTGGGAGGAAAGGTGTTAATCGTGCTCTGGCTTACTGAGCTTTGAATGGAAAGGGATACGTTATACAAATCTATGTATGCATTTTGAAACAGCGGTTCTCTCTGTGATATTTATGTCAGCTGATGGTCTTGAAGGACCATTTTAGTAATGAGAATTCCTCTGTGATCTCTTAAATCATGCTTTCTAGCAACTGGATTTGTAGATGCTGTAGTGTTATTCCAGTAGGGTCCCTTTAAAATAATGACCCAGATACAGCTCCTGGAAAATTGGTTCAAGTAACACTCTGAACCAGGTCACTGAAAACCTATTTAGAATTCAAAGGGCTTTTTAGCTGGAGAACTGTTTCCATATTAATAGAGAAACTACTGTGAAGGAAGTAATCATGAAGTCTAAGGTTTCCAAAGAGAGGAGCTTAAAAAGTTGAATTCCAAAGTCCTGTATTTAGTCTGGGATTTATGAAAGGATCTGAAGCATTTCTGACCCCAAATGTGGGGGAATTAGAGACCAAAATACCCGCCTTTCTCTTTCAATATGATGCTTGGAAGCTAGATAGTTTATCAGTTTTATGAAGCGCAAAGCACCTGTGGACTTCATGGTACACAGATTTGTACCAGCCTTGTCAGGATCAGGGTATGTATTCAGGCACTAGTTTTAAACTCCTCCTTTTGACAATTTGGGCAAAATTGTGCCTAGACTTACTTTGTTGTCTTATCTATACAGAGTACTGGGTGCTTTGCAAAATACTTACTTCCTACCCAAAGTATTTTACTCAGTTGCCTGGAAGCCCTTCTGCAAGTAGCATTGCACCCCTCAGTGATCCCCCTCTCTTACTGGGATTACTCACGGGTAAGGTTACTGAAAAACCAAAGTGTCTTCAAGTAGCGTAGACGCTTCACTGATTATTAATAGATGGAAACAGCAGTGGGTTTAATACCACCTTTAGCACGTTACTCGTTTCATCTTGGATGCACGTTGACAATTCTGCTAATTTAGGTATAAACTAAAGCATTAGGTAACTCCCAATGTTATGGAACAAATTTTCTTCCTGACCTCATGGCAACAGTCTTTTGAATCATTAAGCATCAGGTCTTCACCATGGATATGCAATTACTGTTTTTTCTCCTAGAAATTATTCCACATCTTTTGCAGAATGCAAGCTTTGACTCTTTGGAAACCGAGCTAGAAGGAGAGCAAGGACAACTGAAGAGTTATGCTTTAGCCGTTAGCTGTATTGACAAGATAGGGAGAAACACGTGCGGCATGGTGGCTGTGGTTCAGTTTTCCAACTTTTTCTATTTGAAAAAGCAGAAAAGGAGAAAAGAACATTTACAGCACTTGCCAACATACTCGCAAAGCGACAATTAATTACAGAAAAAAGAGAAATAACCCATTTTATTCTGAACAGCAGCTACTCACATTGCTGCTTCAGAGAAGCTGTCATTTATCCTGAAATTTTCATGAGCTGGTGTGTGGTGTTTGCACTGCCTGGGGCCTCTTTTTGCAAGTGGGCTGATTGCATTCATAAAGCTCCTCGTGCTCAAGTACAAGGGGCCGTGAGTACGGCACTGGTTACAGCACATATGGAGGGGAAAAAAAAAAACCCAAAACTGGTAGAAAGTGATTTGCTGTGGTAAAAGGTGCGGAGCTGCACACAGGACTGTTCTCTCCTGACCCAGGATCATGGCGATGAATAATCTGTATTTTGCAAGCAAAATGTCAGAACAAGAGAAGGAGCAGAAGGTCGGTCAGGGGTTTGCCGTGTGTAAGGTAAAGCCAGGCTTTGCAAGGAGGCTGGTGTTTTCTGCAGCTGTGCTCCACAGCAGCAGTATTTAGTGTAAGCTTTTTGTTGTTTTTTTTCCCCAATTATTATTCCCTAAAAATATTATTATGCTCTTCCACTAAGTTTTTAGGAAGATGCATGCCTTTAGTGACATTTAACTCCAAACTACAGACTATTGAGTTTAAAGCTGAGAAGGCTTGACAGAGGACTGGGTGAAGAACAGTCTCCCCACCTACAGCTCTTCACCTTCTTCCTTTTCTTACAGGGGGGGTGAAACTCTTCGGATTAGGGTAGGTGCCTCCCTGCTGGACTTCTGTGGAAGCAGCTGCAGGGTTCAGGGATGTGACAGAGAAGATCTGTCTGCATTGTACCTGCTGAAACCCAGCCACCGCTTAATCCAAATCATTTGACATTCAGAAAATAATCATCTGTTTCCTGCTCCATTAATTTGGCCTGAGGACCTAGTGATAATTTTTGGGGTACGGGCAGATAGGACTTTCTTCTGAGTTCTTCATGCAACTTCTTTTGACTTTGCTCTTTTTACAGGAATAATAAGCAAGTTGCTTTGGCTGATACGGTAAATACAATATTTGAGGTTCAAGGTCTACGGTGTTTAGAAAAAAAGAGTGTTTTGGAGAATAAAGTTGTGAGTTCAGTGTTCCTGGAGTCATCAGATGCTGTCATTTGTAGACTAACATCAGGATGCTCTTTTCAGTGGATGTTTGGAAATGCAGCCCTGTACGCGTAAAGCAATATTATTTTTTTATTTTAATACCCACGTGAATGTCTTTGCCTTTCTCTCTGCTTCGTAGACATTGATGAGTGTGCAGAAGGGAGAGCCAGGTGTGCTCATCGTTGTGTGAACACTCCGGGATCCTTCACCTGCGTCTGTAATCCCGGCTTCGAGCTGGGGGCTGATGGAAAGCAGTGCTACCGTAAGTGACGCTTCTACAGCCACGCGTTTCGGGCTATCTTATCTGCAAACTGCTACGCTTCATTTTTAATGCAGCTGGATTAGCGCTCCCAGCAAAATAAATGTATGCAAAAGCTCAGGCTTAATACTATTTTCTTCATCATCTGCTACTGCTGGTTTTGCAGGTTGATACATTCCTAAGCCTGTGTTCACAGACCTTAATTACTGCATTTCAAAGAGCAAATAGCCCTGTTGGTTTGTCTTCAGAGTCTGGTGAATGCTATTGCCAAGCTACCAAAACTGCTATTCTATGAAATATATTCATTCCTGCCCTCTTCCTCCCAATTTTTTTATATACTGGATCTGATGCAAAAGAAAGCCAACATGATGTTCTGCTCTTGTCTTTATCTGTCCAGGTTTACTCAAGTTTCTCCTTAGATTATTGACACTGTTAAGTAGATGCTTTAAAAAAAAAAAAAAAAAAGAAAGGAAAAAAAGCAAGATTGGGGATGAAAAGAGTATTTGAACAACTAAAATTTCCCAAACTAAAACAATTCTGAGCCCTGCTGTCTTCCCTCTTGCCAGCGGGGTTTCTTTATCAGCGCTACTTTTCTTGAGAAGGGGACAGAATCCCAGCACTGTTAGTTGATAGGTGATCCCTGGGCTGTCCTTGAGGGCAAATTGAGATTAATAAAGGAGGTGATGTGGAAGAGTTGGTGTTGTTACGGACCTAACATAAGCTCACTGGAATGCAGACAAAAGCATGACCTGTTTTAGCAAAGAGGTGGGCAAAGATCGTTCAGTCTAATAATACTGTGCAAGAACTTTCAGCAGAGTTTCCTTAGGAAAACACGCTGCATGCCAGAGAATGAGTGCTTGCTTTAAGAATGTGTGTGCAAGAAATACTTACTAAGGATGAAATTCACTTTCAAAGCATTAACATACATTAACAACAAAACCCAAAAAACGTGAGAGACATACTGGAGAATTATTTCATAGGTGATGGGGAACTGTGAGTAGTGCAATGGTGGAAGAAAAGCAATTAATGTATAGATAGAAAGCGATCAGTTATGGGGATAAAAAAATGGTTTGGACCACTTAGATTTTATTGTGATTTTCTGATAATATTTTTTCTTGATGTTCAGCAAATCTCAGGGGATGGTGATTCTCTGTGCCTTATGTGCGATATTACAGAGCAAACAATAAAAATAAAAACATTCTGCATATATTTATGATCAGGATTATCCCAGTGTTTGAGCAATTTACAGTCTTTGTTTATTCCTTCATTCCCCCTGTGGCATGGGGAAGAGCTGTTATTCCAGTTTTACTGATGAAGAACTGAGAAAAAAGTAAATGATGGAGATAGCGTATGAAGTCAGATTCTGCGTTGGATCACGGGGTTTCCTAAATCCCAGTTTAACACACAGGGCAGGAGGCTAGATTTCTTCTCCCTGGTGCAAATAATCATACCATGCATGAGATGTAGCCTTCCATATATATTCTCCTAATTTATACCCTCTTCCAGCTAGACTTGCATTTCTTGTTGGCAGACAGGTTGCTCCCCGGGGGCACAAAAAGGGATGGGAGCCGCCAACATAGATGTGTCCGTGAGCCATGGCAGTGGGGAAATGCTGTCCTTCTGCACCGGACCTGATGGCTGCTGCTCTGAGCTGGGGTGTTCCTGGAAGTACGATGGCTCCATTAGGGACGATGTCTCTCAGTTCTCCTACATAGTGTGGGAAATTAATTCTTCTCTAGCTCTGTGACAAGACAATCCGGCTAATTCTTCAAGAGAAACTTTATAACTGAACTTACTATATTTTCTTTTCATCCTAAAGAAATCATTTAACTAAGTACCTTGGTGGGAATGAGATGGACAGGCGTTCCCTTTCCTCTATGAGTATTTCCACTGGGCCTGGCCAAAAAGTTGTGAGGATTGCCCAGCGCAACCGAGTGCGGGAGGATGGGGTGGTCTGTCAGGATGAAGGAGGCTGGCGACAGCATCGTACCACCACCCTGTCTTAATTGAAGGGGGATAAAGTCTCAGCAGAGAAGCTGTCCCCTTGAAGGGACGTCCAGGAGTCCAAAGCTGCATTGTTTTGCTTTGTGGTTAGGTGTCAGGCCTGGCAACAGGATTCTGCTATGAAAATTTTACGGCATTTGTGTTTGGTGGATGTTTCAGAACCCAAATCTTTCCCATTCGCATACAAAACTAAAAGCTGCGGTCTGCGTTGAGATGAACCACCTGTGTTCCTCAGATGGTTCCTTTCCTTCTCTGGGGCAAGGGCAGAACTCACTATTGGGTTCAAACAAAGCATAAATCTCAGGAAACCCGTGAACGCTCCCATAGCTTGCAGACTGCTGAAACACTGAGCCGGCTTCACGTTACCGAAGTCGAGAGCATCCACTGTTATGACACAAGGAGACAAATACCTGGAGTTCAGTGACTCCAGAACAGGCTCTTCTCGGGTGTGCATGGGAGCTGAGTTTATATTTCCTGCTACAGCAGTTGGCTTATGGATGCTTTTTTACAGAAGGCTTGCTCTCCAGTGACTCTCCCCCCGTGCTTGCTTCTTAACATCCTTTTGATTTATTTCTCTGCAAGGCATCGAAATGGAAATTGTCGATAGCTGCCAGGACAACAACGGTGGCTGCTCTCATCACTGCGAGCACACAACTGCGGGGCCGCGCTGCTCCTGCGACGACGGCTATCGCCTCGATTTTGATGGCAAAACGTGCGCAGGTAATTCCCGGCGAATGCTGCGGCTCCGCAGGAGGAGGGAGGAGGTGTGGTGGGTCTGCCTGCAGGAGAGCTGTCACTCAAGGAAATACCTTCCCACCCCCTGCCCTTCTCCTGCAAGTTTTAATTAATACTGTCCTCTGGCGCTTCCTCAGCCGCTGCTCCAGCTTGCCTTGCTCTGCGTGTTTGCTGGGATTATTAATCAACAAAAGGAAGGAGTTCTGTCTCCCAAATGGAAGACGACACTCTGGTGCATCACCAGGTGCTGTGGCCATATCTCATTGTGTCCAGCCCCAGCATCGCTTGGCTGAATATTTTTTCCTTCCCTTCCTCAGCTGGCGGCGGGGAAGGTCGGCTCTGGCTGGGAGCGGTAGCACTGCTGTTCCAAAGCGCTTCGTGCGCAAACTCCACTTCGTGGTATGGAAGTTTCTCTATTTCCATCAGATTTGCTCAGTGATGAGATTGCACTTCTGGCTGTGAGAAGTCTCACTTAGGAAGTGAAAGCAATAGAGTTAGATTTGTTTTTATTTCGAGAGAAGAGCTTTAAAATTCCTCCATGTTTTAAACAATTTTACGATGTGATTTTTTTTGTTTACGGCTTTTGCTATGCAAACTGTATCTCATTCTGGTTTAGACGTGCTGTCACTATGCCATTAAAATTGTAAAGAATAGCCAAGAAGGGGGAAGGGGGGGAGGGGGGAAGAGGAGGCATCGCAGAGCAATATAGTAAGGCATGGGGAGAGGCAGAGAGCGGGAGCTCTGGCGAATGCGAGAGGCATTACAGACAAGAAGTCTTCCAAGAGAAGAAGCCAAGTGCAGGAGAGAGGAAGGAGCAGGGGAGGAGGGAAGCACCAAGGTCTGCCAGGGCTGTTGATGCTGGAGCTTAAAAAGCAAAAGAAGAGAAGGTCGGGGAGGCAGATTTGGACCCAGAGCCTTGCCGGGGTGGGATGGGTGACACGGTCCTGTTTGCTTACGGATGAGAGGAGGCAGAGCCCCAGCTGCTGAAGGAGATTTCGGAGGGAAGCGGCCACAACGAGGGAAACGAGAGCACGGGGGAAGGGTTTGGCAAGGCTGAGGATGTGAAAAGTTGCTCTTAACAGCAAAAATCTCCTTTTTGTTGGATGCACATTTCGCATTCCGACACGGAGAAGAGACCGTTGCTAGGCCCCAGAGCAAGGCACCGTCTGATGGACTGCAGAGGAGCTCGGCTTGTGACACTTCTGGAAAACACTCCGTGTTCAAATAACCTGCATTAATCATTCTCATGCTGACCTCCTCACCTCGATTGATTAATTACATTTTCTTTCCCCTCTTTCTCCTGTCGTTGTTTCCTAATAATGTTGGTACTCCTTCCAAGGTTAATTGAGACACTGACCTTTCCCATCTGCGGCTGCTCGTCTGGGAAACGTTCAGAAGCGTTTTGCAGACTCAGCAGTGACAAGGTGGCCCTTGAATGGCCACCGACCTCCTCAGCGGGCTGCCAGGGCTGAGATCAGCCAAGAGCCTGCAGTGAGAAGATAACAGCTCGATTCTGGTATCTAATCACCAGAACAGCAGTGTCGACGATACCAATTTCTGGGTGGACACAGGGCAGGATAAGGCACTTGGGCAATTAGTTACCAAAAACTACAAATGCACCTAGGAGGCTGCTGATGCCCAGCAAATGGGTTGTTGGATCAGAGCTTTGTTTCACTCTTTGTTTGCACTGAAAAAGGTGGAAATGGTTAAAGGTAGATTACTGGTAAATCGATGGTATTTGTGGGCTGGGGAGACCCAGTTGTTGTCTGGTTTGTAAATCACCTCGTGGCACCTAAGAGTTGCAGAAGAGAAGCTTCTCCCCGGACGTGGAGGGTGTTGGCTGCTGTGGGAGAAGGTAGGAGGTAAAGGGAGTGGAAGACGTGGAAAGGCATGTGCTGAAAAGCGCGGTAGCGACCGAGCAAAGTGGTGCCGGCAGCTCAGCCCGTCTCCGGGGGCTGAAGGAGCTGCCCCTTCCTTACAGAGCTGGACGAGTGCGAGACCGGAGAGTCCTGCTGCTCCCAGTTCTGCGTCAACTATGCAGGTGGCTACGAGTGTGCCTGCAAAGCGGGGTTCCAGCTGAGCGCCGACGGCTGTGCCTGCGACGGTGAGTCCTTTGCTACCGGTGGCTCAGTCTAACCAAGCACAGCAGCAGGGAGAAGAAATGCTGTCAAAGCTCATCCCAGGGCTTTGTGGGCATTTCCCTAATAAGAGAATCAGTGACCGTATGCCAGCTTTGCTGGTAAGGTTTTATAGGTGTGTAATTTCCACTTTTTGAGACTGGAAAGCAGTAATAAACCCAGCATCAAGCATGGAGAAGCGGGGCTGTGGGGAACGAGCCAGCAGAGAGGAACTTTTCCTCCTCTCTTCATGGACACTGTATATTGATGTGTGTTAAAGACTACTTCTACAAAAGGAGAGCCCTCAAAATAACCAAAGGATCAACTGAGCTTAACAGCTTAAAGCAGCTGTTTTCACTTGAGACAAGGTGAAATAATCTGTTCCATGTTGCCCTGAAATGTTTGAATATCTCCAATACTAGTGAGAAACAGAGCGCCCCAAAGTACTAAGAAAATCGGGTTTTTCTTCTGTGCAGAATAATTTTTCGGATGCAGCCAGGCACAGAGTGCCCTTTCCAAGCAGAGGTACTTGCACCTAATCAGCATTTTGTATCTGGTTTTTCTAGACGTGGATGAATGTCGCCTTGATAACGGCAACTGCGACCATTTCTGTGTTAATTCTCTGGGGTCGTACGAATGTGCATGTAAGGAGGGTTACAGGCTTGGTGTTAACAGATGGTCCTGCGTTGGTAAGTTCTTTTTACATCTTGAAGGCCATTAAAGTATTTCCTACTGGTTTAAAATGTAAATTCAACTGAGATTTTCATAGATCCTGGGATTTTGGGAGCCCAACTTGAGCCATCTCTGAATGTGACCAGGGTAGAGCTTCATGCAAGACATGGATCCCAAGTTCATCCTCAATAGATGGGTTTTGCCAAAGATTAATGGGAGATGGATGCTTAAATCCCCTGGACGTGTTTGCGAACCTAAACATTGTGTTTTAGAAATAAATACTATTTTGACAGTTCTCTTACACTATTTGATGAAGTTTAACTTCCTGTGGAGAAAAGGTAGCCAGGTTCTGCTTTGATGGCCCAAGGCAAGTTTTCCACTAAAGTCAGTGGTGCGATTCTGGATTTCTTCCAGTGTAACCAGTACAGAGTTTAGCCTAGCAACTTAATTTTATAACCACGTTTAGTACCTGCAAAACCTTGGGAAGGCTTTGCTATTTTAACCAACTCCAAAAAGCAAGCAAACTGATTTCCCATCACTTTAAGGCTCAAATTTTAGTTTTTTTCTGAAAATAAATTGGACAACCAGCCTCACTCTATATTTGTCATCTCCAAAATGAGCTGGAGTAATGGCCTTCATTAACTAAAAATAATCTCAAACTTCAAGGGAAGAAAATTAAACTCCCCATTCAAATTTTTTTTTTGGACTCTAGGACCAGAGTTTAGTTCCAGAAGAAGGGAAAGGGAAAGATTTCACTACCACCAGCCTTTTCTCTTTTTTGGATAGCAGAAACTCTGTTTATAAATACAGAGGAGAAAATGTGAGGCTGTGACTGCTGTGCAGACTGCACAGGGGTGTAGCTGGAAAATCTACTAGCATGATAAAAAAAAGAAGATGTAAAAGAGAGGGAAATGTTGTGGAGGAAGACTCGGGGCCGGGTCCTGATGGCACGTCTGTGTGTCAGCCCTAGGTGGGGAGGAGGATGATGCAGAAGAGGCGTTTGCTGGAGCTCCAGGGCTGCAGTTCAGAGGTCCCCCCCAGCTCCTTCGCTACACGCTTGGCTCCCTCTACGAGGATGAAGACCTGCGAGGAGAGCTCACCCTGGTGCACAGGGTCGGTGAGTGCACGAGCATCGCTTTTAGCCATCGAAGCAAATGGGGAAAATAGGCTTGGAAAGAGGATTTGGGGTGCAACTGATGCTGGGCTGGCTGGGCTCAAGCCCTCAGGAGGAACAGAGGAGGGGTGAGCATTAATCCTGCTCTCTGTCTGTCCTCCGTGCCAGCAGGAGGAGGCATTGCCACATGTCCCATCCCAAATGGGAGATGTTTGGAAAACAGGAAGGCTCCCTGGTCGCGGCTGCTGCCGCCTGGATGCGGCAGGGAGGGATGAGGAGGGAGGCATGGGAAAAGTGAGCAGCACAGCAAACAAGGGATGGGAGGCTCCTTGGAAAAGCAGGGTGTCTGCACAAAGCTGCAGAGGCAACAGACAGAAAGATCCTGTTCATCCTGGGGGCGAGAGGATTGCGTGGGTGACTGCAATGCTCAAAATCCACCAAAGCTGCTCTACTGAGAACAAGTCCTTGGGAAATGCTCCCTTTCTCCTCCAGCTAGGAAAGGGGGGGGGGCGGGGCATGTGGGCCTGTTTACAAGCTCTTTTGTAATAATTGGAGGGGATTTTGCTTAAGATATTTGCATTTTTGTTTGTGGAAGAAACAACTCTCTGGAGATTCAGGTCCATTTTGATGCTTTGGATGTGTTTTCTGGGAAAAGCACAGACCCATCCACGTGGAGCTCAGGCTGGCCGAGGGCTTGGCACAACCGGTGGCAAACAGAGCACACAAGTACCCAGAGTCACAGGAGTTGGGTGCAAAGCAGCTTTGCACCCCACCTGGACTTTGAATGACTTCAGTGTTTCCACCTGAAGGTGGCAACTTCACCACTTAAAGAGTATTAGGAGTTGAGACCCTGCGCTTTCTTTCTGAGGAGCGCAGGATGTGCTGGTGGGTCACCAGGGAGGAATGAGATTTCTTACTTTTGTTGTTCTGTATGTCCTGTGATTTTTATATGAGCTCTAATTACTCATCCGAGGATTGTGCCCTACAGGCAAAAATCAGGAACTGGTCTTGGCTTTAATAAAAAATTAACTTATTTTTATGAACAAAACTGTTGAGACCTCCCAAATCACATAGCATCCAGCCGGACTCGACGACACTGATAACCAGTTGGGAAACTGATAGATGAGGTAACCACAGGCAAAATTATCAGGCCTAGAAACCGCAATCAAATATTTATTGACCAGGTTTTGCATGGTTTATTTATGTTTAGCCACATGAATTTGGGTATTATCAGTCATAGCTGAGCATCTGCACTTTTTCTAAAGCTGAGGCTTTGCAGCACGTGAGGGTTTGTAGGAAAAGGTGATGGAGGAATGCAACTTCTAATGGTTTAGTAAGTTCTTTTACCTCCCAAATGTTGATTTATTCCTTCTACTTTCAGTCATAATTTTGTGCTGCTGTCTATATTATAAAAATACAGCTTTAAACAATAAGCTGGTGTAAGTAATTCACTGTTTTCTACAGATTGAATGAATTTTAGTGTGGAAGCATGATGTTTTTAAGGGTAATTTGTATTCTTCTCCTGAAGTATGAATTTGTAACCCGTTCCAAGTGGGAGCACTGGGATTCTGAATGTCTCTGAAAGCTTGGGCATTTGTTCAGCTTCAGAAAAAGGAACAGTTGGGTGCTGAGACCTAGAGGAAATCTGGCCTCACATAGAAAATTACTGGTGAAAAGCAACCAGCCTGCTGACTTACTGTTAGCTGAAATAATCTTCTGCCAGCTCGCTTTCAGGTGTTGTTCAAAATCCCCTTCCAAAAAGCCTCCAGCCACAGCCATAAAGTCTCGAAGGCAGTAAACTGGCGGTGTGGATAGGATCCTAATGTCACCGCGATGTTTTAGCAGAGGGTAACTTTTATGTTCTATGCCTTTCTGAATAGACCCCACAAAGAGAGAACGTGAGGGTGCGCACGTCTGCGCTTGTATTTGGGTGCAAGGGAGAAAAGGGGGGGGGGGAAGGTGAGGGAGGAATGCATTTTCATATTTCTTCATTTTCCTATATGGGCTAACCCTTTTTTTTCACATCCATGAGGAAGAAAGGAAGTGACAAATGCTTTGTTTTCCTAGAATAACACTTGAACTATGCTGTTAAAAATATAACTTGACTGTGCTTAAATAGCACCACGTCCACCTACTGCAATAGAAGAACAAAAAGGGGAGCCTAGCAAGGAGAAAAGGAGATTCTCTCCTAAGAAATACTTTTAATTATACACAGTATTATCAAGCATTAGGTGCAAATTCACTTTTTCTGAAGGCAAAATATTTGCTCTTAAAAAGTAGTTTGAAGTGCTCTTTGGGGGGAATTACAGCATTTATGGGAGGAAATTCCAACTAAAGTCCCAGCTTTCCTTTTACTTAGACTCTACAATTTGAAGAGAAATTTGGGCATCTCCATTCGGAGACCATCTTTTGGAATGACTCAGTGATATTTGCAGTGCTGCCAACAGTAACGCTAACAACGTGAATACTTTTTTTTTTTTTTTTTTTTTTTCAAAATGTCATGCAGGTTCCTTTTTGCACTTGTGCATCTGGAACGATAGGTAGGAGCTTGTGGAAGTATTTTGTCTGGATGCTCGCTAAGCCTGCTGTACTTTTTTTTCATTTCAGTTTGCCTTGGTAACACTTTTGGCTCTGACTGTAGCTTGAGGTGTGAGGATTGTCTGAACGGCGGCGGGTGTAACAGCGAGCGCAGCGGCTGTGTTTGCTCACCCGGCTGGACCGGCGTTATCTGTAATGAGAGTGAGTACCGCGTCTTGGAGAGGTGGGGACTTTGTCCTCGTGCTGTGACACTGCAGATAGGTAGGAAATGGGAATAACCTGTTGGACTTCTAATCTGCAAAGATCTCCAAGGAGCTTGCTTCGTAGGCAGATCAAAATTTTATTGTAGCGTGGCACATTAAATAGAAATTGGAAGGGATCCTGCGGTACGGAGTACAAACCCTCAAACAGCAAGGTCTCTGCTCTCCAGTGCAGTGCAGTTCCCCGTGTTGTGTTGGTGTTCATCCCTATTCACTCTGCTGCTGAAAAGTGCCAAGGTTTGCCTGCCGTGCTTTGCTGCACAACTTGCCTCGCTGGCTTTCAGCAGTCTGTCCTGGCAGGTGGTGTGACAATCTGGGTGGACATAGATGCTAAACTTGAGTTTTCCTCTATAGCATCCCAAGACATTGCCTTTTTTTTTTTCTTTCCTCCTTTTGTTAGTAAACTTGGGCCTGTTTGGTTTTTTTTTTCTTATCATTCTTTTTATTATTAACATAATTTGCTTGGGATGGTTAGTTTTTAATATTGGAAATTGTATTTTTCAGAATTCTCTTGCCAAGTCGGCCAGTGCCCTTTGCAATAGCTTTCTACTCTTCTTATTCCCGCCTCCTGGCAGAAGATCTTTCTGGTTCAGAAGTATGTGTCAAAACCAACTGGAAAGATAGAGCGGGGATTTCTTGCTGTACCGCACACCGTTCTTCATCCGCAGTTTGGCAAATCTTGTGTTGCTTGTCTGAGCCTTCACAGAGTGGTCTCTCTGCATGTTTGGGATGGATGCCTCCGTTTCATGGCATATGGAGTGATGGCCCATCATGCTCAGAAGGTCTGTGCTGTCACTGATGAGACCAACAGATGATGAAGAATTATTACTTAGCATCGGTAGACAGCAATCCTCAGGTTAATCACCATCAAGATGGTTTAGGAGGCATCATCACAAGGACAGAAATATAGAAAAAACAGCAAATGATTGAAACCAACAGTCTGCCTGTAGTTATTCTGGGAGACTGATCGTGGGTTTGGTTTGTAAACACTGGGGAGAGCTGAGAGAATGGGAATGAAGAGAATTAAAATGATAATTTCTAGTCTACCTAAGACAGTTCAAGCTATTGAATTAGGGTATTCTTAGACCTCTTCATGGTGCTCTGGTAGTTCAGGGTAGACTATAAAAATTTCAAGATAGGACACAAATTCTTTAGTCTTCATAAATAATAATAACAACATTTTTGCTCTATATTTACAGCAGATATCCATGCATGTAAACTGGTGGCATTCGCCTCTGGAATTTAGAGAACTTTAATGGGACTGAGTTATTGAGCCAAACCTGCAGTCCAATGAAGTAGGCATTGACAATGATAAATGCAATATATAATCCATATGAATTAGCCATATTGGATTGCTTTCAATCTGTTCTCTCGCTTTCTTAATATACAGCATCGTTCATGGGTTTAGAGCAAGCTAAACAGTTGAGAAAACTGGAACTAGATTTCTGTAATAATGCACGAAAGAAACCAAATGGAAATTGCTGTGAAACGTCAAGTTTCTTAATGTACATTGATAAAATGTCACTTAAGTCCGATGACTCCAGCAACTGTATTTACTCAGCTAGCTTGGGCTGCAAATAGCGGAGCAAGGCTTCATTTTGCAATTTGTTTTGCGCTGGAGTGATGAGGGCTTTAGGAGGGAATCCCGTGCTGATGTGGATCCATTTCTGCCATGATCGTCTGAGGAATTGCAGAGACAGTGTTAGAAGAACACAGTGTTATTTTTATAATGGTATTTGGGAGGAAGAAAAATGTTTAAAATACTTATCTCCAAATATTCAAAACAGTGCTCTGATTTTTAAGCTTTGTACTTTAGAGGCAATGTTTTTTGAGCCCCCTGCATTGTGTGGAGGGGAGCACATGCGGGGGAAAATTTGGATACATCACCGAGAACTTCACATAAATAAGCTTGATTAATTCAGGTGTCCTTGTAAAATGATCTAGTAAATATTAGATGGCTGTGCATTACCATATATAGAAAGACTATGGCTTTGTTTAGAGCCCGCTTGACTAAAGAACTCTCTCCTTGCTCAGTTTTGATGACCGGAGTGTTATTTCGCTTCATTTCTAGCAGTGGGGAAAGGATTTCTCGGCCCATTCATCTTCCTTCTTCCTCCTCCGCAGCTTGCTCCCCCGGGACGTACGGCAGAGGCTGTGCCAGCGTTTGCAAGTGCCAGAACGGAGGCTCCTGCCACCCGGTGACGGGGCAGTGCCGCTGCCCGCCCGGCGGCCACGGCAAGCTCTGCGAGGGAGGGGAGGGTCC